CTTTCAGTTTTACCCGCTTCCTTTGGTAGCCAAGATGCATTTAAGATTCTGTCACTATGTCCATCAGTTCAAGCAGCACAAAAGGTGATGCTTCCTTGTTCCTCTTGTACATGTATCTTAGGTTTTATCCTTTTTGTATTCGTGTGCCAGTGATTCTCATGTAGGTGTACTTTTTTGCAACCTTTTTTTCGGGATAATGCAAACCTTTGTAGCATTTGGATTCTGCCATGAAGCAGCACCATTCCAAATATGTAGTGCATGAGAACTGTGCACTGACACTTTATAGAGAGAATTATTTTCTGACGTGATCTCACAATCTTGGTTTTGCTTTTTCAGTCAAATAGAGCACTTATCTTGGGAGATACATATATTTTTAGCAATGGGTTTGTCAAGGTATTGTAATAATTTGCACTATTGATTTTTTTTTAATTTAAAAATCTAATTTCAATTCAAATGTTATATTGCTAAGCTTCTGTGGAAGTTCTGATACCTTAATCTTGTCCTTTTTTTTGGGTATAAAATTTCTTTATAGGATCTGTTTGATCGGATGGAAAAAGAGATGGAAACATTAAGCATTCCAGGGCTTGTCGGTTCTGGGCCTGTAGATGAGTTTCGTGTTGCTAAAGATGCTAAAGTTGGATATGATAATAGCACCATTGAAGTAAATGAAACAAGCAGTGATGCCGGTATCAGCAAACAGGCCTCGGAGAAAGGATCTAAGAAGAAAAAAGGAAAATCAGGTGGGAATACTAAGATGGCGCAAGCTGAAACAGGGACAGATAACCAGGAATCTGCCCCTAGTAAATCTAAGAAAAGCCAGAGGAAAGGTAAAGTGTCATCTGGCTCACAAACGTCAGAATCAAAGTCAGGTGCTAGAAAGGATGAGGACAGTGTTGGCGCTATTTCCGAAGAATGGGTAATTCAGAAGATCACATCTCTTAATCCTGACTTTGAAGAACAAGGTACTTTGTGATTACTCTTTTCTAAGAGTATTGTAGCTGTCTAGCGGTCTATCCCTAACTGCCCTTACTCTCTATTTTTCATTTGTTCCACCACAGGTCTGGATGACCCGGAGATGATTCTTTTGCCTTTAGCAAAACATCTGAGACCTTTGCTCGTCAATTCATGGAAGGAACGAAAAAAGGCTGCTTTCACTGAAAATACCCAAAAAATAAAAAAACTACTTGATAATTTGCAAAAGAAACTTGATGAGGTAAGTTATGGTTAGTCATGTCTACTCCCACTATCATGAGCATTAGATACATAGTTCGTCTGCTTTGATTCCTTCTGTTAAACTCTCCAAACCCCAGGTGACCTGTGATTCTGTGCAAAATAGGTTCTCTCAGTGCAAATTGCCGACACCGTAAAATAATTGTCTTTTTTATTTCAGAGAATGATGTACTAGGATATCTTGATTCTCGGTGGCGGAGACACCCACTAGAAAGGGGTCTCATCTGACACACTTCACAAAAAAAAATCCTTATATATGTGGGATGTGGATTCATTTTTCTAAAAGTCAAAATTATATATACAATAGGCCGACACTGCTTAAAATAATACAAAGTAAATGTCAATTTGAGAGAGAAAGTAAAGCCTTAACACCAACATAATCCTAGAGCCCAACCCACTTACAAGCCAGCCAACAGTGCTTGCCTAAAATCCTGCATTCTCCATTGTTCATTCTGCCGATGATGCCATACGCGTGCTTCTCTTCTCTTTGTTGGTTTATACATACATACATAAAAAATTCTTTCCTTTTATTTTGGAGCAGTCACGTGGTCTATTTTGATTTGTGATTTGATTCCTGGTTTTCTGTTGCAGTCATTTTTGAACATGCAGCTTTATGAAAAAGCCCTCGATTTGTTTGAAGATGACCCATCAACTTCGGTAAGTTTTTCAGCTCCATTACTTAGTAGTTTCTCCAGTTGTCCATAAGTACAGAATTTTATTATAGTTTGTCTTTGACGTATAGGTTCTTCTACACAAGCATCTATTGCGAACTACAGGAACCTCAATTGTTGATACATTGTTGCTTAACCTGGTAAGACATGCGAACTACTTCTTTTCTTGGTTTTCTAGTATTGGTCTTTGTGAACTCAAAAGCCCCTTCCTACCCCCATCTCCTTTTATTGTTCACTCAGGATATGCTCAATAAACTGAAAAATGGAGTTCCGGTGGAGCCTCAAACTCCCGAATCCATTCTACTTAGCCCTGGAGATAGAAGCGCTCTGGTAAATAATATTTCACTTGTTCTTCTGTTATAAAAACATCGACGCACTTCGAATAATTTCTACTGTTAATATTGATGTTTATGACTTTATGCTATCTAGGCTAAGAGTCTGCCAGGTAGTATGTCAGCCAAGGCCATTGCAACAGTTGAAGCTTTAGAAGGGAAGGTCAGTTACTATTTTCTCTCTGGTGCCAATGTAACAGCTGCCAATTGTGTGAAAGCCCCCAACCAGAATTTCTATGCAAACCTTTCTTCCAAACCATATTTCCATTCAAAGCATCAATGCCAAAACGTTTACTCTTTACTGCAGCATGGATATTTCAAGCTTCTCTGTGAAGGAAGGAAATAATATTACAATTCATGGGACTTGTTACTTTTACTTCTGAAGTCAATGTTATGCTTGCTTCTGCTTCTTACAAATGTTTGCTCGTCTCAAAATCACACTACTTTTGCTTTATACTACAATAATGCTCTCATTTGCTAGGAATACTCATCATCTGTGTTGCATTTTCTTACATTGCTGAGTCTTAAGTAACTTTAAGATCTTTCCATTGGCAGCGGGTGGAATCATTTATGTCGGCACTAAGAGAAGTTGCCGAGGAAAGGTATTGTGTATTCTTCTACCTCTCACAATCCGCTTAGTTTGCCCCTATAATGAACAAGAAGAATGATATTTAGTCTGGAATATTTGCAGTGGATTAGCTTTGAAGAAGCTTGACAAAAAATTGGAAAGAACCCTTTTGCATTCGTATCGCAAGGTACCAATAAGTCTTACATGATGTGAACCTTGAGTGTTGATGAGTTTTCCCACTGAATATGGTTGTGAATAAGATTTTTCACTTGAACACAATTATGCAAAGGCTGGAGTCTCGTCTTTTTCTTTACTGCTTACTTGAGGACTCTTTTAGTTATGCTTTAAATAATTGGTTGATCATATAGAATTATTGTTTTCTTTTTGGTTACAGGATTTGACATCTCAAGTTTCTGCTGAAACGGATCCAGTTTCCCTCTTACCGCAAGTTATATCTCTCCTTTATGTACAGGTCTGCCCTAACCCCCTCCTTCTCCGATCCACTTCTCTCTCTCTCTCTCTCTCTGTAGCATATTGTCTTTATAGATTATCCTTATCACTCTTTTGATCTTTACTCCTTATGATACATAGGTTCATGGAAAAGCTCTTCAGGCTCCTGGTAGGGCCATTTCAGCTGCTGTCTCTCGGTTAAAGGTGCAATCCTTAATCTTTTTACACTACATAAATTTTGTCATCATTAATGAAAACATACGGTGGATTATGGAAAGGTGACAGTTATATACTCTAATTGCAAATTATCTGTATTTGCTTGTGGTAACTGTCCCTCGATGTTATGATGAATAAGAAATTTAGATGTCCCTCACTCCTAAACAAAACTGTCGCATATGGCACTTGTTTCTCACCAACTTTAAAAAGGACAACAACACACTCAATGTAATCCCACAACTGGGGTCGGGGGAGGACTTTACCCCTACCTTGGAGGTAGAGAGGTAGTTTTCAATAGAACCTCGGCTCAAAACTAACTTAAAAAGAAGCTTGGTATTACTGGGACTTATTGCTCTAATGAATTTAGACTGCATTAGTAAAAACTAATGTTACTATCACCACTACTTTTCAGGATAAACTGGATGACTCGGCATTCAAGACTTTGGTTGATTACCAGAGTGGAACAGTGAGCGTCTTGGCTCTAATGGCTTCTGCAACTGGGGATGTGAGTTATTCCCTGTCCTTTAGATATGATGTTTTGTTTGTTGTATAAATAAACAAAAGAAAGCTGAAGAATGTTAGTTCCCTTATACAAGTCCAAGAAAGTTACTCATTTGTTTCATTTTGTGTTGTCTATAGGAGGAAGATTGTACATCTGACAGAATTTTGAGCAAAAGGGAAGTGTTAGAGGAATTGATGCCTGCATTGAAGGGACTAGTGCTAGGTACCACACAGTCACAAGCATAGATTCAACTTCAGATAATACTTGCAACATATGACGATGGAAGAAACATTCACATTACTCTGGTGGCCATAAATCATACAGCTAGCAACTGACTTTCTTATGAATATTTAGCCCTTCTCAAAGACTTTTAGATGCAGTAGGTATCTGTTTTATATAAAGTTTGCTCAATCAGTTTACATAAATTTTTACCTATAGTACTCTTTTATTTTTATCTATCGAGAAAAAATAATCTATTTAGTCTAATGTAGCCGATTGTGGTATTATATTGGTATGATATCGTGCATAAAGCACAAAAATTGTGCACGTTCACAGAGCATTAGATTGAGATAAACCCATCTTGTACTAGATTATTATATACAATATTGCCATTCATTCATATATGAGCACCGAAAAACAGGCCAATATTTATTATGATTTGTAGAAGTTCTTATTCAAAATAACAAATTAGACGCTTTCGAAATTCAATGCTTGAAACATTGATATATAATCTAGGCAAACAATACAAGGAATGAAGCGAGGCATAGACGGTGTTGGTGTAGGAGCAGTGGGTGAGTCGGAAAGCAGGGAGTGAAATATTACTTGAAGAAATAGGTGAAGTCATTGAAAAATACTTAACCATGGCTGCTCATGGGTTAACTAATACCCAAAGCATAACAAATCTACAAGCTCTTAAGCATCACAAATTATTTTCTTGGATGCTTATACTCCATAATTTTTTCTTGGAGAAGCCAAAAAAGGTAGACCATCACAGACTAGTCAGAACAACGACAGTACACTCGCATCTAATTTTCCTTTTTATTTTGATTGTGCTTCTAATTTTCTTGTTCTCTTGGTACCACAATGTTGGTGGTTGAAGAACAAGCCAGCTTCCACAATGTCTTTTCAGCAACTACTATTCTATCAACAGTGCCTTAAAGATGGCATTTCCACCAATGAATTCTCAGAAATACATTTCTTTCCGACTTGCAACGTCTAAAAGATACAAGGAACTAAATGACTAAGACAACTCTAATTTTAACAATTGCTGCCAACAGCCCAATTGAGCGGAAACTACAGGTGATCTACCTGGCTCCTAGATTAAGGAATATATTGAAAATGTACAGTTATGAACTGGCGCTCCATATTAATGTTGAGGTAAAACAGGTCTTTTTTCCAACATTTCGTAGTGGAGGACAAAATTATCCTGCATCGAAGTTGCAGACGAGTCAAAACACTGGAAACTTGATAAAAACTGACGTGGCACACATGAGAAACACAACTAATACTCGAATTCAAAAGTATACTATGATATCCATACCTTACGGATTGTCTCCCATGTGTTTGGATCAAAACAAATGTAAGACCCTCTCTCATATGCATTCGTCTTGACAAGAGGCTCCATGTTGGCAACCCTCATAAACCACAACCGATGTTCTCTGTGGTAAAACCAGCCGCGGTTATACCTGCACACAGAAAATGCAGACTGCTATTAACTAGACTCCAGCTAAGCACTTAGCACATTGCAAATCCTGAAGGTCAACTACGCAGTAAGGGGAGTATCCTATTATGCAATAGCTGACAAATTAGCTCTCAGGAATACAGTAGAAAAAATATGCACCTAAGAACAACCAATGCTGTTAAGAAACAGAAAACATACAGTTCATTTGCAGCATACAGTTGCGCTTCATCTTTTGGCATGCTGTAAACACAATGGATCCTGTTATTATTGCATTCAAATTTCACAATCAAGGAACATTACCAGTTTACCAAAAGACTTGCCTGTAAAATATGTAAAACAAAGTATCCAGCTGAAACTTTGAGAAGTATGCTTGCTGCATCCAGAATTAAAGAATATTTCAATAAATAAAAAAGTCAGATCCAAATAAACAAAAATGCAAAGGCAGCTCACATTTAAAGGTGGGGGTTGCTTCGCATAATAACATTGGGGTGCAGTAAATTCTGGATCCCCTTTGGCAGGCTCATCAGACCATGGGGAACCAAAAGTCTTGTACAAATTCTCAGCAGAGTTCAAATTCAAACCAAGTGTTGTTAGATCAATTCCAAGCGCAAGAGAAGTCAAATCTGGATCGTTCATCTGTATTACACTTAGCAAACCAAGTATACCAAATGGGTCAGGAGCAACTTGGGATTGCATGGACTTTAAGCTGTATGGCTGACTTAAAGAGGACATCTGCTGCAACCTGAATTGGGATGGACCCTGATGCTGTTGGTACTGCTGAGCCTGAATGAGCTGATCATATGATCCAATACCAGAAACATTACTTGACGAATTAAGAGGCCGTAATCCTATACCAGGAGGTCCACCACTCTGAACCCAAAGAAAGATTAAAAGAAAGTTAGCAAACTTGAACGAATGCACCTCTTAACACACACAAGGAATCTAAACTTGTTCTATCTTTGACCAAACCAAAACTCCAGTTTCAAATGTAGTTCTTTTTCTTTCTTTCCCCTGGTAGTCAAGAGGATAAATTCTGCTTTATTGCTATACACAGCAACTGTTTTGAAGAAGAACTATTTTTTTGAAGAACTGCTGATTAGCAAACTTAGTACATCAATCAAACTTCCGACTATCAAAACAGCCAACTCAAGTAGGGAAGCACTTAGGAAGAAGAAGATTTAACAATGGACCAACCACACACACAAAAAGAAAGATAGATGGAAGGCAGAAAATTTGTTGCAAACATCTTCTTTATAACAATCTTTAGTTGGAAACTATGTTGCACAGAATTTACGGGTTTGACCTTACTTCGAACAAAGTAAATGCTTCCAATCAGATAGGGTTGATAAGGCGGAAAAGATCCAGCGTAAAAAAGAAGGGGATTACCACGGGAAATTCCAAACACAATAGGATCACTTCTAGCAAGACTGAACTCTACAGACTTGATGGAGAATAAAAGAACAACTGAACTTACTCCGAACAAACTTACAGGAGAAGCTAAAACATACTCCATACAAATTGTTGCACTGAAGTAACACATTTTAGTCTGTTATTCAGCAAGAGAGGGTTATTTCCCGTTTTACGCGATGTGGCATAAAAGACTGATAAGGAAGTAGGCATCAACAAGTTGGGACTACATCAACTTTTACTTGGAGCAGACAAGATAAATAGTTCTACCTGCCGTCCCCTCACCCCAAAACAAGGATTGGAACAAAACACAATAACAGATCATTAAAAAGAAAAAGAAAATTTAAAGTAATGCACCTGTTGATGATAACTGGACTGCGATGATTGGAAGACATCTGGACCATGTAAATTCAGCAGATCCTGGTTGTTCATATTTGAAAAAGGGACACCACTACTACTAACAGATGGAGCATGTTGCAGCTGCGGCTGTGGACGATGTGATGAATATGTTCCACCCAAATTAAAACCTGTGGATCTTCCCATCTGCACCATTAGATCGAGGGAAGAATCAGCAGGCTGAAGCTCTTACTATAAGCTTATGGCTCTATAAAATAGCCGGCGAAGTTACAGAAATTTATGCTTACTGAAAAGTGTTGCTGTTGCATCATAGAAAGAGCATTATCATGAAGCTGCTCTTTCTGGTGAGGATCCATTGCATAATCAGCATTCCCACCTTAGCAAACATGAAAGCAATAGTATCATTAGACTCCTGGCATGGAAGAGAAACCAGCAAACCCCCTCCCCCCTCCACACCCAGCCATTCTCCACTACCCCCTTTTCTTCCGTGGTTCCCCCACCCACCCAACAAAAAAACTCGTTCATACAATAAAGCAAAGAAGACATTTACAAATTATTTTTTCCTCACAAGTACATATTTCAGAAAATTCAGGCAGAAATAACTAATAACACATCCATAAATGCGGAAACCCCTGTCCCTTGCCTTTCCTTCTCAAAGGAAAAAAGAGCTATATGGCAAAGCCAGGATACTCATAATAGAGGAAATTTGAGCTTGTTAGTTGACAGCAGCTACTGTCTTCAGAATTTGTGAACTAGCAATTCACCTTATATTCAAGTGAAGAAAAAGATGAGTTGGAGAGGCTGATTGTTTATATCCTTGCCAAGGAGATGTATCAATTTCATGTTTTTTGGTACATCCAAAGGGAAGTAAAAAAAAAACTCCCTTCTCCATTCTATCCTATTAAAAACATTAAAAGTCTGACATGGAAGGTTACAAGAATCTCGGATTTCACGTCACCTCCTCAATTACGGAAGGAACAAGGTTTCCATAGTGTCCTCTTTTTACTCCCTACTCCTGCCCTTACTTTTGTGATCCCAGCTCAAAAGTGCAACAACAAACATGTGTAGCATATTACCACTTGATCATCTCACTCAAGACAAATTGTAAGAGCTTTGTGCATTGAGAAAAAGCACCTTTAAATCCTGGTAAAGCAGGAAAATCTTCATTTTGAATGCTGAATTCCTGGTTTTGCTGAACAATAGGACTGGGCCCTTGTTTCCGCAAAGAACCTGAGAATCCTGTATTATCAGTATTCCTTCTAAACTGTATGATAAAAGCACTAGCAAAGAGTGTTTAGAAGAAGGAACTTTAATTACCCATTTGTCCTTGAGGTCCTCCAGCCGAACTAGGTCGACTGCTTAACTGAGGGAAATCATTGATATCAAAAGGAGATCCATCATTTGAATTTACATCATTCAACAATCCCAAAGAATTAAGGCTTCCCATTGCTTGGACATGGTTTTGAGATAGTGGACCACCAGCAGAATAGGAATTTGCTAACATAGAAAGTACCTGCGGAGAGGCTGATTCCAGATACTACCATTAGCACTAGAGGATTCACCAACCTACAAACAGTGGGTGTTACATATACCTTAACCTACCTATCTAAACATGACATCTCTATCTGAAATCAATGACAAAAGCTGCAAATGACATCCCTATGTGAATGCAATGACAAAAGCTGCAAGAATTTCTAACCGGCCAATTTAGGTACTCAAGCTGAACAAAAACCAAAACATAGTTTTTCAATCCAAACGAACTTATTGACAAACAACAAAACCGTCAAACAATTTTTCGACCTCTTTCTGTTGCACTACCCCTACTATTTTCTTCTTCTTTCAAGCCATAATTCAGAAATTTCGAATAGAAGGTCGTATTATTTGTATTGCAGCTTTTCCTTACTTTAACTTCTTTTTTTTACTGGCATAATTCCTTAATTGACGTAGAAGTTCAGTTTTGATCCAATATGTTATGTTTTTGGACAGAATATAAGATTAGCACCAGTCCCACACTCACCTCATGTGTGTGAGACTAGGTAGTAAATTACATATATATATATATCACTTCTAGTCCACAATCTTGAGTAGGTTATTATATATTTTCAAATGTCAAGGAGGTTTCATAACTCAAAGACTTGTCATGTGGAAAAATTCTAAAGAAAATATAGGCTGAAGTTATCAAAAAAACACCTTGTAGTGTTTGGTCAAAGAAAATAAGAAAATATATTAATAAAACCGAAACAGCACACAAAACTTGAACAAATTTTTGAAAATCTTATAATATCTCCATTTTCCTTCCAGTAAAGATGACCTGATATAATGTGGGGAAAAATATGTCTGAAAATGAATGATAAGGAAAACTGGGAAAATCCATAATTCCAGTAACTTCATCCACCAAGGTTTGCGGTTAGCAAAATTAGCACATACCACATTCATTTTTACTACATTGAAAATTAATCATAACCTCAAAGCATGAAATAGGGCAGCTGAAAAAAACAAAAGAATGAAACTAGCTGAGGCTCTGCCAAATGTGAGGAAAATCTCGTCAATAAGTTTTTGATGAAGAAAATCTCTTCAATAATTCTGGATGGTAAAAAAGAGAACAACCAGCAAGAAGCCAAAGGAGTTAACTGATGCCAGAGGGAAACCATCAGTAATTCAAGCTAAAAAAAATTGAATAAATAAAATAAATAAAAATTACTAGTGGACCAACAGGGAAAACAAGGAAGCTAGCAAACTGGAAGAGGGGAATCAGTATCAATTCAAAGCTAATTTACCTTGCTGAAGAACACCATTCATTATCCTATTAGGTCCTTGAACATTTAAATTTCCAGAGCCGGCATTGGCGTTCATATTTAACCGTGAAGCAAGATTAGTCACAGACAATCCTGCACCAGAGCTAATGCTTCTGCCAATGTTGCCCCCACCAACAATATTTCCCACTGAGTTGGTCATCCTTGGGCCTGCATTTCCTAAAATTTGGGATACCCCAAGACCTGGCACAGAACTTCGATTACCAATTCCTGCAGAAGTTGGGAGAAGCCCAGGAATAGAACCTCCTACACCACTAGCATTATTGCTATATCCCGCATTACCAACAACACTCATACCACCTCTACTTGTCATTCCAGAATGAACGTGAGAATTGCCTTGAGATATCTGCAATAAAAATACTAACAGACACATAAGATATCCAATACAAGGAAATAACGCCAAGGCATATAACAGAGAAGAAAACAAAGAACATTTCCAGAATAAAATTTAATAAATCCATTTCCAAAGAGCAAACTAAATCATTTCCAGAATCAAAATCCCACACCACCACCCTCTAAAAGTTATCCCATCAAGGTTTCCCATCTCAAAATAAACTTCACCAAGTGCAGGAGAGAACCTAGAAGAGAAAATGACAATGATTTTGAATCTTTTCCCTCCTTTCCTTTCCCACTTAGGTAATATCAAATACAAAAAGATGGAATAATGATGAGAGAAACATTACACAAACCTGAGAAAGGGCAGCCGGAAGATTGTTTGATGAAAAACGACCACCAGAAAGGTTATTTCCAGATTGCTGGACACCACTGGAAGGGACGGTATTTATTGCTGTGCTTCTTGAACCAAGTGCCCCGTGCATGTTAGGAATGTTGAAACTCCCATGAATGTTATGCAGCCCCTGAATACTTCCTGTGAGGAAGAAGTTTATTGATAGATTGGCATAAGTATGAGAAAGTAATAAGAATCCAGCAAATAACTCACCAGAGTGATGATAAAGAGGGGAAGCTGCACCAGATTGAGGAGGGAAAGAAGAAGGAAATGAGCGACCAGTGTTGTCAGAAGGATTTGAAGCTGATCCCTTTAGAGAAGACTATAACCAAATAGGAAATATGCTATGAGAGAACTGATAAAAAATTATTCAGCTTAGAACAGCCCTTTTTCATGCATGAAGAAATCATCTAAAAACTATGTCATCCAAGACATCTAATACACCAGAGAGAAAGGTAATCAATCAAATAATAGCAGAAGTGGTCCATAAAGCTGCTCAACTTCCCTTATTCAACCATAAACTCAAATATTCAACCCATAACTGTCCTTCAGCATAATCAAGCAATCATGACATTAGATCTTAAAATTGCTCATCCAGCAAAAGGAGCTGGTTTCTGTGGAGTGATAAATGCATGCATGCGATGAAAAGCCAGCCATCTACAAATGGCTAAGAATCTACATTCACCAAAGTTGCAATAGGAAGTCCATAACTGAAATACATAGTACTGAGATGCCAAAGATGCACCAAACTTACGTTATCTTCAACAGTACAAAGTAATTAAGATAACACCCAATTTAGGATGTCCATTCATTTTCCCAGTGAATCAGCCTGATCTAGAAATTAGTCTTTCATAACTATTGAAAGAAAATTTGACTTCCGCATTCAGAAGCCCTATATTGATATCCATGCCTCAACACTGCTGACAGTTTCAGATAGCAGCGATAAAGGTGTAGATAATGCGAAAGACTTATAAATGACATCTGTCACATGCTGCCACAAACATTGGACAAGCATGCTTGATTTCAATTAAATTGGGACAATAGCAAGATGCTTTACAGTTCATCTACTAGACAGGTCAACGCCGTAACTACATAATATGGAAGATCAGTCAAAGTAACAGCCATGAATACGAGAGTAATTATTAAATCCAGGAGAGGTGGAAATTAGATTCTATCAGCATTGACCAACTTCTTGTACAATATTAGCACCTAGTCCTTCTTCCAAGAATAGGAAAGTGAACAGAAAAGGGGCCAACTAAATACAAGAACAGAACTGAAATGTACAACAACAACATACCCAGTGTAGTCCCACAAAGTGGGGTCCAGGGGAGAACAGAAATAGCAGTATACATATAGATTTTATCAAGAAAGATAAATACATTGGGTAATCCTGACATTGCAGAAATGTCAAGATGTCATGCAGAATTTTTTTCCTGGTTGTACAGCAGCTTCCCTTATCCTTTTCTTCGGAAAGGTTATGGGAGAAATTATTGGAAGCCTTTCCAATGAGTAAATACCTATTATCTGAAAAGGAATGTGATTGGAACAGCCAGTCAAAAAGTATTATTTATCTCTAGAATCGAATTGAGCGAAAAAAGAAAGACGAAAGCATCAGAAAGTAATCAAAGAAAAACTTAAGCCTGGACACATGCCAAGAGAGAGCCACGAAGCATAAAAACACAAACTTCTGAACATGCATAGCATATGACGCAGTGAAAGCCAGTTTTCATAATCAAGTTCACCACTTCAAAACACCAGATAAAATTTGAAAAGGTAAATAAGCAAATAACCATTAAAAATTTCAGGCTTATGTTACTACCATGCAACTTGGAGATCCCAATTTCAAATTCTATTTACAACACTAAATGTAAGAATGTGCGCTCCCACCTCAGTCAACAGGTTTACTCTACAATTGTGCAAGTATGGCAACAAGCTACTCAGTGAAACAATGGAAAAGCACACAAAATGGCGCAGTCACCAAAAAAGTAAGCAACAATTAAACGAAAAAAAGGTATTTCAAAATTTCCCAGCATGCAACTGGTCACTCCATACGCAAATTAACAACTTACATGTGTAAGTCATAAGAACTAAACTATGAAAAACGTGTACTCCCACCAAATTACTTCCAGATTGTTCCAGGAAATATAATAACAACAACTAAAATCCTTTTTGCTTAACTTGAAATTCACAGCTTCCAATAAGTAATATTAATTTTTTTTCCTTTTATTTCTTTTCATAACCGACTTCTAATATTCGAATTTGGATGAGAGTATTCCAAAAATTCCAATCGAATAAACACAATGTAAATACATCCACAACAATCCAGCTAAATAAAATACAAAATATCACAATTCTAAACTCAAACAAACAGATAAAAGTAAAGCTTATTCACATAACATACTTCAATCGACCAAAAAACAAAAACTAACAATTCGATAGCGCTAACTAATCTACACTTGCCGCCGCATAGAGCTAAAACAAAAACTAACAATTCGATAAGTAAATTGAAAAGAAAACTAGGACAAAAGCGAAAAGCCCTAGATGATAAGTAACAGTAAGTACGAACCCTAACGTTTTTGCTGGATATACAAAATCTACAGTTACATATATGCATAGTTAAGTATGAATAGATCGATGCCCAGATAGAGAGAGAAGGAGAATAGATTACCGGAGAAGAAGAGGTGCGAGCTACTGATCTTCGTCAGGTGATTTTGATGAAAGAGAGAGAGAAAAGGGGGAAATGGAAAAGAAAAGGGCCAAATATATAAACATTTTCGAAACCCAAAACCCAAAAGCCCAACAATAGCAATACCATTTTCATCTTAAAAATATTTATTCCATGCTATTTATATAAAGTTTTATTACTACTCCTATTAATATTATAAGGAGAGTGAAATTATTTTGATTCACTATAATTTTTTAAAACATTTTGAGATAAGGCATAAGTTAAATTATGAGCGAAATTTCAGCATACATCTTAACTTAATTCAGCTCTATTATCTATCGTGTAACTTTTGTGTTGACATGGTATCACTTTTAAAAAATATATATTATTTTTTTATATAAAATACACGTAAGTTTCTTAAAATAATTAAAAGCGAAGAGATAAAAAAATAATATAAGTGAAAAATATATATATTATTCAAAGTGAGGAGGGAAAAAATATATTACAAAAGAAAGAAATTAAAACAATTACATATATATATATATAAGTTGTAATGTCAATAATTATGTGTATTAACTAATTATAAATAAATCAATTAAGAAATGGCATGTGTCTAATTTTTTTGTTGTTTACTTGCCTTCAGAAAAGTATGCACACAATTTCTATATCATCATTCACGTCGACATTTATAGAGTGTTTATTATATTTTAAAATAGTTAAAAGGGATAATAAAACCCTAAGTAATTTAGATATACTCATGCCTTATCTCAAATATTTTTCTGATAACTCTTATAATAATTTTAAATCAATAAAGGGACCCAAAAAAAAGGTCTTTGAAGGCCAATGGACTATTGTTCGTTACACAAAAAGATAAACATAAAGGAGAATATAAAGGTAAAACTATAAAATAAGATATATGCATAAAATCCTTTATTTTGTTTTATAGACACTATTCATTTTCATTTTTCACCATGTCAATCATTTTTTTTAAAAATTATATTATAAATATATTAAAAGAATAACAGTCCAAGAAATTGACCCCTCAAGTATGTCTTTCTTAATAAAAAGTCAATTAGTTCATTCAAATTCTAATCGTATTATACAAGCATCAAACCAAATAAATGGGATAGGAATAGTTGCTCCCCTTAAATGAAAAATTCAAATTGATATTCAAATAAGATGATATAATTTTAATTGTTAGCGCCAACTACCTTAATAATTATCATCAATGTAGATAGAGTACTATTAAGTGAACCTAGAGCTAATAATACACAAGAGAGAACCCATCATATTAAATGAAATGATGATCGAGCAAGTTCTTGAATTCATTCAAATAAAAAAGAAATTATTTCAACATATAATAAATTATATAAAGGTCATATCGAAAAATTATTTTACTAATAGTTTGAATATACAGATCGAAAATACTAATAATAAAATAAATTTTGTTACAAACTTACAACAAATTTATGTTGGAAGAATCCTGATGAATGGTATGGTAAACAAAGCCACTATGATCCAAAAACAACAAGAACATTAATTAATTACAACAAATTACAAAATCTTAAACATTATATTACATGCATAATTTTCTTGCTAGCCAACTCAATAATAAATTTGATATTTCTAATTAACCTTGCATTATTTTTCCTTTTGAAATTAAGAATCATGTTAAGCTAAACATTTGTTGAGTTCTGATGATCATGGGCAGCAACCTCTGGATTCTTTTCAAAATTTTCAGACATTTGGACTCTATCTACAAAAGGGGTTCTGCCTCCACTAATTTGCCCTGAAAATTGCAACTTTGTATTAGTGCATATTTAATTGGATTTAAATAGTGTTAAAAATAAATAGTAAACAATTTAGAGTAAAAAAATTATGAAAATAACCTTTTAGAGTTTTTCGAATTCCAAAAAATTATAACAATTCTATATCCAAACCGTTAACCTCACCTGGATTAACAAGAGATGTAGTAGCCCTTTTGTTTTTGTAGTGTAAAATATAAAAATACCCGCAATAGCCCACACAAGCAAGAAGGTTAGGATTGTAGTTCCCAGTATTATTGGCAGATTATTTTTCTTCTTCTTATTATTATTCTTGGTTGATCCAGTTGATGGTTGATCATTTCCTGGTGATGATGAATCATTATTTTGGCAAGATTCATCAGATGAACTGCACAAATCTGAATTGCCTGAAGTACTGAAATATATATTAAAAAAAAAAAAAAAAAAATTAGCAAATGAAAATATGATTTGTTTAATATTAGTTCAGTAGATTTTGGATTGATATATAGCTTAAATTGACTCATAACAAATTTGTTAAGGTATTTTAAAAAATGTTAGTATTTTTTTTAAAAAAAAATGATATGTTATATATGGAAATAATAAAGATTAAAAATAATTTTATTAGGTATGTAAAATAATTTTTAACTTTTCAATGGCTAAACAGTTCAAGAAATATAACAGAAGATATGTTTAATGTTGCTTTTGCTTACTCTATGGTTAGGCCATTTTTGTTTGACAATGAAGCAGGGACTGGTCCACTGAACTTGTTATTTGCTAAATTCCTGAAAAGAAATTAAACCAAAATTATTTATCATAACAAGCTAAATAAATCGATCAGAACTTGTTAGTTACAATTTTTTTGAGAAAACAACTTTATTTTCTAAAATAAACCGATTTTTTCTTCAAAATACTTTTAGCTTCCGAAAAGATTGACCAAACAAACTAATTAAATCGATCAGAATATAATGTTTTTATACTAACAGTTCTTTAAGATTGGGTAATGTGCCAAAAAAATCAGGAATTGGTCCATCCAAATTGTTGTTACTCAAATCACTGCAATCCAAGAAGCACAAAAAAAAAAAAAAAGAGTTAGAAATTAATTAAAATAAAAATATCCCTATTTGGGAATAAATGTATTTAAATTAAATTCGAAAAAAAAAGAACAAGAAATATTACATTGTCTCGAGAGCATCCATGGAACTAAAATCTGGAAGTGATCCTGATAGATTGAATTTACTCAAGTACCTGTAAATTAATTTTATTTCAACAAAAAAAAAATACAATTACATAAAACGGAGCGCACTCTGAAGCAACAATAAAATTATCTTCGTGTGACATATATGTCACGTGTTTGAACCGTAAAAACAATTACTAGTGCTTACATTAGAATAAACTGTTTACATTACACCCCTTGAATGCGGTCTTTTTCCAAACCCTGCTCAGACTATTTTGTACACTAGACGGCTCTAAAAGCGTAGTAGATTAAAATGAATTAAAGTTTACTTACAGTGCTGTAATGCGAGGTGGATCACTGCTGCTACAATTGATCCAATCATATGTAAAAGGTGATGGAAGACAAGGATCACCAATCCAACCTTGTAATACTTCAAATTCCTTTTGCAATGATATTAAAGTCTCCACTATATATTTAAAAAATGAAAACATAGTACTTTAATAAGTATAATATCCCATATTTCAATAATATTAGAAATATCAATAAATAAAGTATTTAACTTATATATACTGATAATATAAATAAATGCATATTGTTTTCAAGTTATCAATAGTTATTACGGTCTATGGACAATTATATATGATAATCTTTTAGGTAAGTGTATATATTCTTTTATACTATTAAATGTATAAAAGTCAAACTCATAAATCGAGATTAATTTCTATACGTTGAAAGTGTGTTAAAGAATTTACACAATCAAATAACTATAAGTAACATAAGATAAGTTATCTGCCACAACAGATTAAATATAAGAAGGTGTACATACCATCTTCGGTGTTTGTTCCATCAGTCAATGCATTACCAATAGTGAATATTTCCAACGCATTGATAAGAGGAGGAAGTGTTGAATTTGTGGTTCTCACAACAGAAAAAATAGTGGATGGTGAAACAGTGAGATTGCTAACATACATTTGAATAAAATCCTCATAAGGTGGCAAAATTGGGTCAGAGATAGACTCATTGTCTTGAAAAATTCTAAATGATCTTGTTTGGTTGACATCAAGTTGAGTTACTTCAGAGAAGTACATGTTCATGTAGATAACATTATCAATAGGAAGAAAATTCATGTTCCATGATATGATATTTACTGAATTGTTTGTGGAAATTGCATTTTGTAGTACTTGCTGTGGGGGTTGATCTCCATGCCTAGTGTCAATAGTTGTGGCATCACTAGTGAGTGTTTCTATTAAATTTCCAGAACCAGGAGTCCATATTCTGTCATAGGGATCATCTGTGTTCCTGTCCATTTTGATCAAAAGAAATTTGTTACGACAACAACAACATATTCAGTGTAATCCACAAGTAAGATCTGGAGAGGATAGAGCATAGACAAATTTTACCTTTATGGGGTCTCAAAAGAAATTTGTTTAATGAAGTAAAAACAACAACCACAATGTTACGTTGTATAGCTTCGAAAGTTAAGTAGCAACTAAGTCCATATATATATCGAATATATGAATCTTCACTATTCATGCCCCTTTATTTATGTCCGTTTTACTCCAATATTTTACTTTTCTTAAAAAAAGTGAATATTTTCAGTACTAGAAATTCAAAATATATCAAGTTATTGTATCTAATCCGGAAAACAGAATGATGATATGATCATAAAACAAAGAACCAAAAATATAGATATATTTTGTCTCTATTAGCATTTGGTGTGGATCTACATGATCAGAAGGGAGTCCAACTGATGAATGAAAAGAATCTCACATCGGCCTCCCTTTTGAGCTAGCTTTTGAAGTTGAGTTAGGACGATCTAGTGTCCAGTTGGGTTAAGTTAGGTTCAAGATCTATTTAACAAGGTATCAAAATCAGGACCCCCGATTTGATCCCCCGAGATAGATCCACACCGTAATGAATACAATCCTACATCAGTGATGCAAGGGGGACTTTCTTATATGGACTTGAACGATCTTTCCTCCTTGAGTTAGACAAATAAAGCAAGTCGAAATTTCTGACTTCACCACTGACTAACGCTAAATAGAAGTACTCTAAGTCTCTAACTAACACAAAGAGAAGCAACAAGATAACATTGATGTATAGTTAAGCAGAATATTTTACCTGATAGTTTTGTTGGAACCAAAAGCAACTCTTCTTCTCAAGA